TCTCAAAGACAAATGATCTCACGGACAAAAGATACCAGGACAAAATATATCAGGACAAATGATACCATGGACAATTTAGCTCAGACAAAATATCTCAGACGAAATCTCTCACAGTAAAATTTTAATAGTGTTTAGGATGATTTTAGTTGATTTGAACATTTTTTTTATTGACGGTCATATGGTTTGTTACTTGATTTAGTATTGTTTATATATTGTAAAGCAAAGTATAGTCCAGCAAGAGCTCACACAGTAGGCCTACATGATCACATAGTATTGGAGAGTTGTGATCAGAGGCGTAGCGAGGGTGGGGGCGGGGGCGGGGGGGGGGGGACATATGTCCCCGGGCGCCGACCTTAGGGAGGGGCGCCAAAATAAAAGTTTGAAGGGGGGTGCAAATGAAAAGTTCGAAGGGGGTGCAAATCGAAAGCTTGATGGGGGGGGGGGGTGTGCAAATGAAAAGTTCGAGGGGGAAGGGTGCAAATCGAAAGTTTGAGGAGGGGGTGCAAATGAAAAGTTCGAGGGGGGTGTAAATCGAAAGTTTGAGGGGGGGGTGCAAATGAAAGTTCGAGGGGGGTGCAAATCGAAAGTTTGTCCCCGGGCGCCGGGAAGGGTTGCTACGCCTCTGGTTGTGCTCATAGCCATACACTTATCAGCAAAGAAGCGTTATATTTGTGTTGATAATGCAACAAAAAACAATGGTTTTATGTTAGAAACATGAAGACCCGCTATTACAAAGATTAAGTTTAATAAATCTTTTGATGTTTTGTTAAGTTTGACAAAATCATTTTACTCACAATTATTATGTGTAAATAAACCGGGAGTGATCTCCCCTAAACTTTCTCGAATATTCTAATATAACACTACGTGGGATGGCAACTCGGAATATAGACATGATTTTTGTTTAATTAAACTTTTAAAAAATTCATAAAAAACGTTTTAATAACAAGCATTTATGTAATAATGCACTAAAAAGTAGAAAATAAATTATACACAACTATTTGAATTACTATAAAGAAAAGCGTGGGTCACTTTAGTACCTATTGGATACCTTTACTAATATTTGAGAAGAGAAATTTCATCAACCTAGCTGTAACGGTACTCAAGTTATCGTGTTTACACACACACAGACACACACACACAGACACACACAGACACACACAGACACACTGACATACGGACAAAATTGCAAAATTATGTTTTTCCGTATCAGTGAGGTGTAAAACGTCGAGATTTGTAAAAACCTCGATTTTTTTTTTTGCACGATTACAAGACTTTCTCTATACTTCGTATATACGAGAAAGTAAAAAGTAAACAAAACCGTATGACAGTCAATAAAAACACCAACTCATCCGCCTGATATTGTGCATATATCTAGTAGTCTCACCTGTTCTATTGCAGTTTTGTTTTTAAAATTACATTTTCGGAACTTACGGTCAATATGGCAGATGAAGTAGAGTTCATCTGTGTATGTTTAAAGGAATTGTGTATCAGTTCTCTACCTATCCGTCTTACTGTCAATAATGTGAGTCTGATGGCAGATGAAGTAGAGTTCACCTATGTATGTTTGAAGGTATTGTGTAGTCAGTTCTATACCTATCCGTCTTACTGTCAATAATGTGAGTCTGATGGCAGATGAAGTAGATTTCACCAGTGTATGTTTGAAGGAATTGTGTATCAGTTCTCTACCTATCCGTCTTACTGTCAATAATGTGAGTCTGATGGCAGATGAAGTAGAGTTCACCTATGTATGTTTGAAGGTATTGTGTAGTCAGTTCTATACCTATCCGTCTTACTGTCAATAATGTGAGTCTGATGGCAGATGAAGTAGATTTCACCAGTGTATGTTTGAAGGAATTGTGTAGTCAGTTCTCTACCTATCCGTCTTACTGTCAATAATGTGAGTCTGATGGCAGATGAAGTAGAGTTCACCTGTGTATGTTTGAAGGAATTGTGTATCAGTTCTCTACCTATCCGTCTTACTGTCAATAATGTGAGTCTGATGGCAGATGAAGTAGAGTTCACCTGTGTATGTTTGAAGGAATTGTGTATCAGTTCTCTACCTATCCGTCTTACTGTCAATAATGTGAGTCTGATGGCAGATGAAGTAGAGTTCACCAGTGTCTGTTTGAATGTATTGTGCCGTCAGTTCTATATCTATCCGTCTTACTGTCAATAATGTGAGTCAGATGGCAGATGAAGTAGAGTTCACCTGTGTCTGTTAGAATGTATTGTGTAGTCAGTTCTCTACCTATCCGTCTTTACTGTCAATAATGTGAGTCAGATGGCAGATGACGTAGAGTTCACCTGTACCTGTTTGAATGTATTGTGCCGTCAGTTCTATATCTATCCGTCTTACTGTCAATAATGTGAGTCTGATGGCAGATGACGTAGAGTTCACCTGTGTCTGTTTGAAGAAATTGTTGTGTTATTTCTATACCTATCCGCCTTACTGTCAATAATGTGAGTCTGCTTCCCATCAGAGAGTGCTGGGTACATGGAGCCTGGGATCCGAACTCGAGATCTTCAAGCTATTAGTCGTGCGTTCTATCGTCCAATCACGTGCTCCAGTCTTTAAATAAAGAAATATTTAAATTTTTTTAAAAGACTTATTTGATTCCATTATTTTTTAAAGCGAGGAATTCCTGCCTTATTACATGAAATTCTCTGGAAACTTCGTTCGAATCGCTGTTTAGAAACTGGTCAGATGTTACAAATTTTACGGCGAAAGTATAGAATTTATATTGAAAATATATACTTTTACCCATGCCCCCCCCACCCCCGGAAAATTGAACAGCCCCCCCCCCCCTCCCTGGGAAATAAATTTAAACGAAACACCTATACCGATTAGCCAGTGACATAATGACAGTCAAAACTTCTCTTTAAGTTATAGATATTTTGTTTATCTCTTTTTTAACTCGGTTTTTTTTAATAACACGTTACAGCAAAATTCTTTGATGACCTTTACTCTTGTACAGTAGGTCTTTTATTTCCACCACCTTAACTATTTTTTTTCTCTTTTCAAAAAATGTATACTTGAGAGAATTTCTTTAGATCAAATCTATCAGTAAAAAAGAAACCAGCGTAGGCAGGCTGTTGGGGGCGGGGCTAGGCCAACGAATGAATAAGTTAATTAGCAACAAGTTCGTCAGTCCTCTCTAATGACTAGTCCTGTTATATGAAAATGTATTATATTTGATAGATCTCAAAACGCTAATCTTTTAATAGAAATGTTTTCCCCTGATAACTAGTTTAGAGTGGCTTCCCTTTTAATAAAAAAAAAACCGCCATTACAAGTTATTTTTTCTTTCGTTGCGAGTCCCATAAAACATTCCATACATAACCAGTGTTGTATACCACGATAGACTGTGCAGTTATCAAAACATTTCAAACGAACCCAGGCATAACACGGGCCGGGGTCTCCAACACAAACTGGTTAGGGCCTAAAGATAGGAGGTCAATCACTACTTGTCGCCTATGGAGCTAATGATAGGCATTTTTAAACTGTACGCTGATTGGTGGATATAAATAGCCGGGTTATCTTTCAAACTGGAGAAAATATCAAGTCGTGTTTTTTTTAAGTGAGTTTCGCCATACCCAAATAAGATAAAGATCTATCTTGTCATTTCGCACCATCATCCCGAGTTAGAAATTTCAAAGCCTTAGTGCGAATATGTCAAGACAACTTCCTTAATAAAACGATTTCCAAACGCCAAAAATGTAATCAAAATCTAGATATTTTATTTATTTTAATGTTTATTATTTATAAATGCTATACTCAAGTTTCTAATGTTATAAACCACGATATCTTTTTTTTTAGATTAATACATTTTCACACGATTGCTTCTTGGGTATACCTTAACCTGCCCATTGATTACTAATTAAATAGTTGTTTTTTTTTGTAATATAACTCAGTAGTTCATATGATCAACAAAAAGATGTCTAATGCAGTCATTTTCCATCATCCAAAAACGTTTGGAGTTCGATTACATAGTTCGATTATCATTTTCAAAACATCCCTAAGACAATATTTTAAAAGATTTATTAATATGATTTAAGTTTTATCTTTTTAAAAATCTGTCCAGAGTTTCTTTCAGTCATTGCAACGAAATAGAATCTACATACAAAATAAATACATCAACAAAATAGGATCTACATACAAAATAAATACTTCAACAAAATAGAATCTACATAAAAAAAATAAAAACTTAAATGAAATAGAATATACATACAAAATAAATACTTAAATGAAATAGAATATACATACAAAATAAATACTTAAACGAAATAGAATCTACATACACAATAAATACTTCAACGAAATATAATCTACATAGAAAATAAATACTTCAACGAAATAGAATCTACATAAAAAATAAACACTTTAATGAAATAGAATCCACATACAAAATAATTACTTCAACGAAATAGAATCTACATACAAAATAAATACTTCAACGAAATAGAATCTACATTAAAAAAAAATACTTTAATGCAATAGAATCTACATACAAAATAAATACTTCAACGAAATAGAATCTACATAAAAAAAAATACTTTAATGAAATAGAATCTACATACAAAATAAATACTTCAACGAAATAGAATCTACATAAAAAAAAATACTTTAATGAAATAGAATCTACATACAAAATAAATACTTCAACGAAATAGAATCTACATAAAAAAAATACTTTAATGAAATAGAATCTACATACAAAATAAATACTTCAACGAAATAGAATCTACATAAAAAAAAATACTTTAATGAAATAGAATCTACATACAAAATAAATACTTCAACGAAATAGAATCTACATAAAAAAAAATACTTTAATGAAATAGAATCTACATAAAAATAAATACTTCAATGTCCGCTCTCCGTCCCACCTTCAGGTGTCGCCCCCCCCCCCCCCCCCAACTAGATAAATGTCTGAAACAAACCTTGTATTTGCTGATTTGCCTTTGCCATATAAATTAATGTACATTTCTATCCACAGATACAATATAAAAATGGAGAAATTTAAAAATCTACTTTAGTGCCAGAAAACAAAACATTCTTGAAGAGTGCTCTACATTTTGAGATATGCCAAACTTAATCAAACCACATCTGTAGTTTGACTACCTTGTGTGCTGCAGGATCGAATCCCTTCCACTCTCATCCTAAATCGTATGTTATTCTAACCATAATCTCTGGATGTAGCTTTGTGTATTTGAAAAAACACATAGAGGGCTCTCAAAAAACAAAAAATGGCCACGAATCTTGTTGAAAAACTCGTGGAGTTTCACGGTGTGTGGTTGGTTGGCCACAACATCAACGATCAACTTCTGAGCAAGATAGGCAACGAGTGCGTCGGCAAGCCGGCAATGTCCTGCAAACTCACTCTCACGACTTCCGGTCTTTCCCTCGACAAGGTTCCAATCGACGAGAAGAAAAAGAGAAAAACTCATGAGGTTTCTTTCAGCCAGTTGCGTGAGATCTGCTTCAGTAGTCACCAACCACGGTGCTTGATCGTGATCTACAAGGACGAGAAAGCAGCACTTAGCATCATGGCATGTACGTGTTCTGAAGGCGACGTTCAGGCCATAGTGCGAACATACCAGGAACAGAAGAAACGTATTCAGAGTAACAGACCGGCTTCCGTTTTAAGAACCGGAAGTCTGAAATTAAACACTCCCACCCACAGCGCCACTCCCGGTAGTTATGCGCGGACATTCAGTTTTTCGTCGAGTACTCGCCCCTATCAGAACGGATATTCTCCTAAGAATAACATTGAGGGGAGTAGGCGTCATTTCTCTGACGGAAGTGACGTCATTGACGGGGATGTGTTTACCGCTCCGCAGGAGGCGCAGGTAGTCAGGGAACCTGCGGCAGGGCACGGGTCTTCAACGGCTTTCAATGTTGGCGTGCAGGTAATACATCAATTTTAAAATGTACAACAAACTAGACAATATTGAAAGGTAAATATATCGACACAGTTAAAATGTTTGACATACAAGTATAACGTGAATTTTACCCAAAATGTAGATTTACAAGCGTATATCCTAAATGCAGAGTTAAAATGGTGTGTCCTAAATGTAGAGTTAAAATGGTGTGTCCTAAATGTAGAGTTAAAATGGTGTGTCCTAAATGTAGAGTTAAAATGGTGTGTCCTAAATGTAGAGTTAAAATGATGTGTCCTAAATGTAGAGTTAAAATTGTGTGTCCTAAATGTAGAGTTAAAATGGTGTGTCCTAAATGTAGAGTTAAAATTGTGTGTCCTAAATGTAGAGTTAAAATGGTGTGTCCTAAATGTAGAGTTAAAATTGTGTGTCCTAAATGTAGAGTTAAAATGGTGTGTCCTAAATGTAGAGTTAAAATGGTGTGTCCTAAATGTAGAGTTAAAATTGTGTGTCCTAAATGTAGAGTTAAAATGGTGTATACTAAATGTAGATTTACAATAGTATATCCTACGAGCCGACCCGCGGCGTATCATACGCCGCTATTTGGTTGTTTTATTTTCTACTTTTCAGTAATTCATAATTTGTGAATTCGACAGTACCTATGCTGCCGCTGAAAATATTTGCTTTAAAACACTAACCCCCCCCCTTTCCCCTAACCCCGACCTTACATCCCCCCCCCCCCCTCTTAGCAGCCTCGTCTTAGTTACCTCCTGTAAGTTTAAAATCGTTTCAAACTAAATGATCTGCCCCTATTAGCCGTCACTAAACCCGGCTCTACGATTTGTAAACATTTAATTTAGCGTGACCACAACTCACCAGACCATGTGGGGGTTGGGTGGGGGTGGTAGTGATAGTGATAGAGAGAAAGAGAGGGGACTGTAAGGAGGCGCTTGCAGCTTGTTTTCTAACGGCTCCCAGAAGAGAATTATATATATAGATATGTAGAGTTACAATGGTGTATAATAAATGTACATTTACAATCGTATAACCTAAATGTAGAGTTAAAAATAGTGTGTCCTAAATTTAGAGTTAAAAATGGTGTGTCCTAAATGTAGAGTTACAATGGTGTATACTAAATGTAGACTTACAATGGTGTATACTAAATGTAGACTTACAATGGTATCATACAAGAAACATTAATTTCGAGATAAATAGAAATATAATGTTTGTGGAAAGATAAGCTATATTACGAATTACATGAAGTCAAAATATTATTGGTAGCATACTAATGAGTAAACAGTTAATTGGTGTGTATATAGTAAATGAAGATAGTGTGTAGGTAAGAATACAGATTTACTGTGCATATGTTCCTATTTCAAGTACTCTTCTTAGGATATATCCCGAATCCGATTCCCATCAATTATCCTACAAAATAGATAAAGATTGAAAAGATTTATATTTAAAAAAAGTTCTCTTTCGTGGTTTTGGTTAGTGTCAGAACTGTGATGGAGTCTAGGAAAGAGGTTATGGCTGAGGTTAGGGCTATGTTGCGTAATGAGAATAGAAACAGACGTGCCGACGTTCCTTAAGGTACCCACACGTCCAGTGCCGGCACCGGGTTATTTAGCACCCTAGGCAAAACTTATTAAAAGCGCCCCCAACCCGCAATTTTTTTCGTGCCTCCGTATTATCAGAGGCGTAGCGACAAACTTTCAATTTGCACCCCCCCCCCTCAAACTTTTAATTTGTTTTTCCAACCCATTTTGGCGCCCCCCTACGGACAGCGCCCTAGGCAACTGCCTAGTTCGCCTTATAGGTAGCGCCGGCCCTGCACACGTCTTCATTAAAGATTTTAAAATTTTACGTTTTTAATTTTAGACCACAAAATAGGGCTTGTAATCTCCTTTTCGCAAAAAAATTTGAAATCATGTCAGCCAAGGAGAGATCGAATTTCCAACTACACTGAAAGTTTTAAACGTGGTTCCCATTGGTGATAAAAAAAAAACATGGCGGTTATTTGTTTCGGTGCTTCGCTTCAAAATTTTAAAATACCAAGGGTACCCCAAATAAAATAAAAAATACTAATAATAGAATCACATTAATTATCGGTAGGCCTAGGCTATTAATAACCTTAAATTAATATTGTAACTACCTTGAGAACAAATTGTTACGGATTCGAATAAATAAAAAACTGCATGCTTCTTATAAAGAAAATCCCATTTAACGTAATTTTTTCTTTAAGGTAGTCTGCATCTTGTAGTCCATCATTGTTTACGATTTAAAAAAATACTAGCTGGCAAGTACGAGAACGAGAAGTTGGTGACCTACAAGCCTTATATCAGCCCCAATTTTGAGCATAATTACAACAGCCGATAATAAACGCAAAAAGTTCAATGCAAAATTTCCCATAAGTCATTTCGGCTCGATCGATAGCCCACTTGTTAAAAGTCCACAAAAATTCTTCAATAAAAATTAATGTCAATTCAATAACATAGTTTCTTCCAGGCATCTCTTCGGGGGGGGGGGGGGGGGGGGGGGGGGGGCAAAGCGTCCCCCCCCCCCCCGAACGAAATTAACTTTATATAATTTATAAAGAAAATATCTACTTTTAACAGTGTCCGCCCCCCCCCCCCCCAAGAAAGTCTACCGCCCCCCCCCCCTCCCCCCCCTGAAAATTTCAATCGCCCACACGGAGAAAAAAGTCTGGAAGAAACACTGTTCAATAATACTACACCGATCATCTTATTCTTAAAATATTTTTATTTTCAGTTTAGAAAAAAAATTACGCTTAAAACACATCACTTTAAAAAGGAAATATTTTAAAGCTTTTTGTATACTTCTGTCTAGCCTTTTCCAATCAATTAGTACTTCATGTTGTAACGAAGTCTCTTTGTTCTTTGGTCATACTTTTTAATAATTTACACTTCTTTAAGGGTCCAGCCAAATATTCGTTTAACTTGAAACCATCCTTCATACATAGGCGTAGGTAGCTAGGTGTAGCATCACAGGCGCCGACCTAAGCGAGCGCTAAACGAGCGTTGAAAAAAATTTAAGCTTATTCTGAACTACATTACTTAACATGTAGGCGTACAAATTAAGACTTGTTTAAATGTTTTTGACACCAGTTGCGTGACCCTAGATTAAAAACTTTACTGGCCTGTTACATGTAATAAACGTCTAAAGTCTTTCCTAATTGCCGATGGGGGAGGGGACGCTTTTTTGCAAACAAGAATAATGATATATGAATTAAAATAGGGGAGGGGTACTCGAAGCTCATGCGCTAAATTAGGTATTTACGCATCATGCTTTCATACCCTGACCATATATTAGCATACCTTGACTAAATATGGGTATAACTTCAAGACCTTCTGTCAAACCATGAACAAATATTCGTACAACTTAAAGCCTCTATTTCATCCCCTGACCAAATGTTCGCATATAACTTGAAGCCACTTTTTCATACCCTGACCAAATGTTCGTATAATTTAAAGCCTATCTATCACACCAAGACCATTGTTTTCGTTTGCTTTTTCGTTTGTGTTTTTTTCTTTGGGTTTGTGTTTGTGGTTGGTTTTGCGTTTGTATTTGGTTTGTTTTCGTTTGCTTTTTCGTTTGTTTTTTTCTTTGTGTTCGTATTGGTGTTTGTGGTTGTGGTTGGGTTTGTTGCTAGGTTTTGTTTTCGTTTGCTTTTTTGTTTGTTTTTTCTTTGTGTTTGTATTGGTGTTTGTGGTTATGTTTGTTGTTAGGTTTTTGTTTTCGTTTGTATTTGTAATGGTGTTAGCGTTATGTTTGCATTTTGTTGTTTTGGTTTTGGTTGGTTGTGGTTTGGCTGGGCAATGCCGGGTTTATGATGATTACTAAACACACAGGTAATGGTCTTTAACAGAAAGGTTTTTCACAGAAGCCAGAGCAGGGCCTGGCCGGGACGGCTAGTGTTCTCATATAACTTAATGCTTTTATTTTCAGACCGCGATCAACGACGCCGATTGGGACAACGAGTCCAACATCTCCTCCTCCTCCTCCCTCCAGACCCTCCGTGACGACATCCACTCCCTCTCGGAGGAGATGCACGCCATCAAATTTCTCCTGGAGAAAACAACAGGCATCAGCGCGGAGGAATACTACAGGCGGCGTGATGTGCCGGGCAGCAGGTAAGTAGTGCCCTAGTAATCGTTTTACATGCGGAGGGATATGACCCTAGTATTCGTATTTATAAGTAGGTAAATTATTTGAATATAGAATTTATATGTTTAGCTTCTATTTTTGAAAAAAAGAAATGTGTATCTTTATATACATATATATATATATATATATATATATATATATATATATATATATATATATATATATATATATATATATATATATATATATACGAACACACACACACACATATATATATATATATATATATATATATATATATATATATATATATATATACGAACACACACACACACACACATATATATATATATATATATATATATATATATATATATATATATATATATTATATATATATATATATATATATATATATATATATATATATATATATATATATATATATATATATATATATATAAAAGTGTATTTCACATTATATATTAAGTTTAGACGAAGATGATGTTAACGTTGCTCTAATATTGTTATTTAAGTGTAGCTACATATATGTTAACGTTGCTCTAATACTGTTATTTAAGCTTAGCTACATAAATGTTGTCTTGTATGTTTCAAGTTTTACCTCCTGTATTCCACCAGGCCTACCGTCACCTTCCAGCATCCCCCCACAGTTCACCCACACCACAACTCCCAACCACCACACCACGACCACGACGCCAGTGGTGCTGTTGGTTACAGCGAAGTACCAGCGGCGTCTGCAAACGGTAACATTTTTCTAGAACTAAAGTTAATTTGCAAATAGTTTTACATGCACATAATTGTGATATACGGTTGATATAATGATAAAATTATTTGGAAAATGTTAACATTAAAAACCATGTAAACAAAAAAATAAACATTATCTTTAAAAACAATTTGGTTATTAACTATCGAAAATGAAGACGGGACTACTTTTTCTTAGTTCTTAATTGTAATGTTTTACGGGATTTTCTCCAACACAATTAAGTATTAAGTATCAACATTTTATACCCTGTTTAGGTCGTTAACTCAATGTTTTCAGCATGCTTTACTTCCTGGATTTGCTTACATAGCCTTTGTCCAACCAAGAACAAACGACCAGTCTGCAGTTGTTTGATTTTGGAGTTGTCTCTCCTACATAGGTTGTTGTCCCCCGGTAACGTGGTGAGAAATCGGGACTTCTGGAGTAGACAACCACACACTCTCCTGTCCGGCCACGTTGAGCCCTCCCCCCCACCCCCCCCCCCCCCCCCCACCCCAACTTCTGGCATTATCCCTATCTCTTACCATAACAGCCATTAGAGTACAAAAAAAATGGTTCTTCAAAACGGTAGATACGTTTTTAGTTGTATTCTCACTTTTCTCCCTCCTTTCCATGTTGTATAGGAGGAAGTCCTATCCTTGGGTCCATCACTGTGTGGATAGAGGGAGGGGGGGGGGGCTTTATGCTTTGATTTCCATTCAGCAAATATCCAATGGTTTTTTAAACTGTGGAGCTATGTATCAAACTTCAGACTTAATTTCTAGGAGACAGCGTGGCTTAGCGTTAGAGCGCCAGCCTGCTAACTTGAAAATCTTGAGTTTGAATCCGAGTTCAAAACAGTGGAACATCTTCGAGTCCATTAAACACAGATGGGTAACTAATTCGCGTTAGGGAAAGTAAAGGCGGCAGGGCATAGTGCTGACCACTATCCTTTCATATTCCGAGCTCCCAGAAACAGTTGAACTCTACTTCACTTGACACATGGACTGCCATTTTCAAATATTGACTTCTTTTTTTTTTTAAAACTAAATTTCGACCATTACGTCACCAGGAAAGGCAGACGACGATTACGACTTAAGAAGCATCAGTGCCCAGACGGAGAAGAAGGGGGCGGGGCTGCGGTACACGAAGAAACCAATCCCAGCCAGCACCAGTAACGCCTACAAGGAGAGAGTTGCCGCCCTCAGAACTAAGAGCGTCGAGAACGGAAACGGAAGTGTTCCTAGTCCCGAAGCGACGCAGCCGGCAGTTTACAATAGTCAGTAGGCTTTGTCGTTTTCTTGTATTTGTTCGCTACCTTTTCATTTTGCAAACAGTGGAATCAAACGTAGAGAGTCTATAGGGAGCCAACTTTTTAAAAGAAAGAATGAATTTTTATAATAACTGGAAAATAAATCAAAAACAATTAACGGTTTCGAATGCAGGTCTTCGTCGAAATAAACAATAAGAAGAATAAAAAATAAAAAATATAAAAACCTTCGAGAAACAGTAGATTCGAAATTAAAATGAACACGTATACTAAGTGCAGGAGTATTTGTATACGAATTAGGCCAGTTCTACAGATATATTAAATTATGATTTGAAGTCATGTATTCTAGAAAGGTTTAAGATGAACTACTCCAAAATAATTCATCAATACCAACTTTTGGAGTTATGAGTTGTTGTTACGTCAATAGTTAATAGTTAAATATTATTATAAATTGTAAAACATTACTTGTTTGTAAAGTCGCATTATTTAATAGTGCTTACATTTTATTAAACATACTGCAGTGGTATCATGCATCACAATTATCTTTTCCACGTTCGACACGTGGGGCAGGTGAAGTAGAGTTAATATGTTTCAATTACCTCGGCATACAGGGGATAGTGTCCCCTAACGTTAGTCAGGTACCCATTAGAGTTGGGCGGACTCAGCGACGTCCAACGGATCGAACCCCGAGACTTTCGGTTTAGCAGTTGTAAGCTCTACCATTCAACCCCGCCATACCATTGTATCCCAAAAAAAAACCATGCTAAATGTAACTTTTTGTTGTGTTTCCAGACGGGTTTCGTCCCCGCTCATCCAGTGCCAGCAGGACGGTGGTGTCGAGGCCCATACACGAGGTGTACGGTGCCAGGGTGCAGCAGGGGGGGAGCCAGAGGAAGAAGGTGGTGTTCCTGGCAGCCCCGCATCGCTAGCAGGTAGCAGTGACAGGTGGTAGCATTGACAGGTGGTAGCGAGTAGCAGTGGCAGGCGAGGCTATAGCTGGGAGCAGTGGTAGCAGATACAAGCGATACAAGGTTGCAGTGAAAACTATATCAAGTGGCAGTGAGTAGCCATATCAGGCTGCAGCTAAAGGCTACATTACTTTGCTGTGAATAGCTACATGAGGCTACAACGAAAGGGCACATCAGGCTGATAAAAAGGCTACAACAGGCCTCAATAAAAGACTACATCAGGCTACAATCAAATGCTACATCAGGCTACAATAAAAGGCTACATCATTTTACAATAAAAGGCTACATCACGCTATAATAAAAGGCTACATCAGGTTACAATAAAAGGCTACATCAGGTTACAATAAAAGGCTACATCAGTTGGCCGTGAAAAGGCTACACGAGGCTTCAATAAAGGCTATATCAGGCTACAATAAATAGGCTACATCGGGTGGCAGTCAAAGGCTAACGAAGAAGAGGTTATAGCCTTACCCTGTGATCTTGACACTTCAAGCAGGCAGAGAACAGGGTCACTTTTTGCAGCCTCGAAACGACAGCCTGATATTGTAGACTTGGCACTGCACGCATGAACTGAAAGCGATCACTGTATTCTATCGAGGTAGTGACACACAACTACTTTCTTCCCGGGACTCGCTAGAAACTAATTCTTCTACTCAGCCAAAACCTATCTCTATATCCGGTGTTAAATTCTCAAACATTGAAAAATATTGACCAGGAACAACTTCAGTTTTGAGTTTATTTCAACCTGGATTTAAATATCGTAGGAATTCCACAAATAACGTGTTTTATTATAATGTAATTTCAAATATAGAGAAGCTGTTTGACAAAAATACTTTTGCTATGCTACCAAAGTAGGCCCAGCTTGTCAGGAGATTCTGAATCGCAGAGGAAGAAGAAATACTGTAAGAGGTGTGTGAAAGCAGGTAGAAACATATGTAGATGTATGTGGCAGATAAATGCACTTCGTAAAAACAGAAAACAGACGGTACAGTTAAGAACAGACGAATATAGATTCATGAAAAACATGGAACTATTTTGTCGAAACAAAAACAACAGCAAAATACAGCAAAAAATAAATACAATTACGTTTTTAATTTATCTTAAACTAACAGCAGAAACTAACAAATATTATTTATATTCTATCTTTAAGATCCTGTCTTTGACTAAATAACAAATCAGTTTTAACACCAACTTATGTTATATACCTAATCATGCTTTGAATGAAAACTATGTTAATTATATGACCCAGTGGCTAATCTAGGACAATAGATTTGGGCCCTAAACAGTGTATCTACATGAGCCTTCACACTTCACATCTCGTTTATATAAGTTGTGTTCTATTTCAATAGCAATATAAACAAAAAGTGATGTTTCAACGCCAGGGGTAGACAGAGACAGGGGCGTAGCGAGGGGGGGGGGGGCGGGGGGTGACACCATTTAGGGGGGTGACACCAAGGCAAAAAATAGCAAAATATATAGAGAAAAACTTGAGGGGGGTGCAAATCGAAAGTTTGAGGGGGGGGGGGGGGGTTGCAAATCGAAAATTTGAAAGTTTGTCCCCAGGAAGGGTCGCTACGCCTCTGGGGGGGGTGACACCATTAAGTGCCGCACCGGGTGACACCCGACCCGACCTCGCTGCGCCACTGGACAGAGATACAGAATATAGTCGGAGTAAAACAGAGCAGTTTTAAACCTACCGGGTTCCGATCCTACCACTCCACGCGTTGAAATATCACTTTCTGTTTATATTGCACTTATATTTCAACAACACTTTACACAGCTTGACAATTATATATTTTTTTTAAATTACTTAAAAGTCTCGCACTAAGCATCGTGATACTGTAAGAATCTGAACATTCCTCTGTACGGCACTTTGTTTTCACATTTTCTTCCATTTGTCATTTTACTTTGTTCGTCCGTTTGGGGGCCATCCATAAATGACGTCACGCTTTTTGACGATTTTTACCTCCCCCCTCCCCTCTGTCACACATCTTCGCAAAAAACTAGACCCCCCCCTAAAATGACGTCACACCCCAGCCTACAACCACCCCCCCCTCCCTCAAAATTGCAGTTGAATTTTTCTTAAAATACGATATTTTTTTCCAAAATCTTGTCTAAACTCTGTCTAAATTCCTATTAAAACAATTTTCTAAAACACGAAATAACGGCTAAAATTCGTTTTCTAACATTGCTTTTTTATGATGCAAAAGTGTGACGTCACACCATCTGAACCCCCCTCCCCCACATCACACACCGTCACAAAATTACGGACCACCCCCCTGTTATAACTGGGTTCACCATGTTATGGTTATGTTGCAGTGCAGTGAGAGGGTTTATTTATTTGATTCAACCAGCTACCATTTCACTCGTCTCCAATACCAGGGAGAGAGTATTACACCTTGATAACCACTAGGTTATGTCACATTCAAACGAGTCTACGACGCTTAGAGATAAGATGAACCAAGTAATCCGTGTATGAATATTTTAATCTCGTATCTACAACAACACACGTCCTTCCACACCGACGATAAGGATTCAACTGCTCACACATAAACTCATAGCAACCAACTCTCTAACCTAAAACGTCACTATCTTTCGTATCTCGTCACACATTCACTCGTTCAATATACGGTCGCACCATCAATCCTGCGCACCGATTTCCCCAGTCAACATGCATCATAACACCCCCCCCCCTTCCCCGAGTGTGCCGTCATTTCGGGACGACCCCTTTGTCCTTTTTTTTAATTATATTTTTTCCGTTTGTTACTTTATTTTCAAATATTTGTCCGTTTATCACTTTTTATATATCGTCCATTTGTCACTTTAATTTCATATATTCATCCGTTCGTCAGTTTGTCTGAACGTGAGTGTGATCTAATTATACAAAGAACCCATCTAGACTATACAACTAAACAGACTATGCAGATGAAGTAGAGTGTATGTTAATGTCACCATACCGAGAATTTTAAATTCGGGTTTCTTTTCCGTTATGGAGTACCAAAGACTCATCGCTTAGTATCATTCTATTTTTATAGGCGATGAAAACCTAACCTTTATCTAACCAAAACAACCACAAACCTAACCTTAACACTTTGAGCCCTAACGGAAAAGTACCTTCTGTAGATTCTATTGGCCAGTAACTTAGTAGGCATAATAGGCGTTTTACTTACGCAATGTTGCACTGTATAAAATAGTTCGAGCTATCTAGTAACTTTAATGGTGTCGGTTTTATTTTTACATATTTATTTAACCCGTTAACACGATGTTGTTTTTTTTTGTTGTTTTTTAATTGCAAGGCTATCGTTTATTTAATCGTGTATTGTATATATATAAATCTAATAAAAGAGTTATAATTTAACATTATATTTAAAATATAAAATGCCACTATTTTGTTTTATCTTGTAGTATGTCATTGTTTGTTATTGAAAATATTTTTATTTAAGTTGCAAGTTTGTATGAGTCAAGTGCTAAGTTTTTAATGGGAAATAAAGTCATATATTTTCACTTTTTATATCTTCTGTTATACAACTCTTCTTTAGTGTGGTTTGTTATACTAAACTTTGTTTAAAGTAGTTTGTTATAGTAAACTTTGTACGGTGTACTTAGTTATACTAGACTGTGTTAAATGTGATTTGTTATACTAGACTGTGTTAAATGTGATTTGTTATACTAGACTTTGTTTAGTGTGGTTTGCTGTATTAGACTTTGTTTAATGTGTTTTCTTTCATGAGACTAAGTTTAATTTGTTGTGTTATACTAGACTTTGTTTAATAAGTTGATTGCATTAGTGTTTAGCGTGCCGAAATGAAGAAAATGCGACAAAATTGACAACCATTCATTGCTACATTTCAAAGATTTAGGTGCAGTGAGTCATTGAGAGCGGGCGGGTTAGAGGCGGGGCGTAGTTTAAATATAAAAAGGGATGTTTTGTGGCCCCATATTTTCAAAGGACACAATGAACGCGAACTAACAGTTGACAGCGGCTGAATCTTAACGTGAGATCTCTTATTACTTTGCGGGATACATCTGGGGGTGGGGGGAGGGGGGGGGGTTCTTAACCAGAGGCGTCGCGAGGCGGAGTCGGGGGGGGGGGACCGCACCGGGTGACACCATTTAGGGGGGGGGGGGCGACACCAAAACAAAACAATTGCTAGATATATAGAACAAATATGTTTTTGACAACATGAAGGTGCCGCATCGAGTGACACCCGACCTAGCGACGCCACTGTTTCTATCCTAAAACTCTCCTGCCTCCGTCGCTAAATAAACAGGTAGGGTCTGTGTGTGTGTGTGTCTGTCTGTATGTGTGTGTGTGTGTGTGTGTCTGTCTGTCTGTCTGTGTTTGTTTGCACATGAATACAAAAAAATTGTGCTACAACATGCTTCGTACGGTAGGGAAATTTTTTTTTTTTTTGTGTTCGTTCAAAACTGGTTTTGGGGGATCCTGTGGGCGCTCTTCTACATTGAAGGAAGAAAAGTTTTATTGTAAAAGCGTAACACCTTAAAAACACACATAGGCAGAACATGTCGCACACTGTTGAATCTAGCATCACAAAAAATAAGAAGAAAACTTCATATACACAACCCACACAAATTACATACACGCAACATAGGAATACATACCACAAAAAAAATCGACATACACACTACATACACTACATACACACCATATTTTCACAACATCAACCCAGCTCTGATGGGTAGATATACAATTTTTTGTAAAATAAAACGCATAGGTATGACCACACCATCCCTTCATATGCCGAGGTAACAAACAGATGAACTCTACTTCACTTGCCCCATGGACCGTTAGATGGTGCCCGCCGGTAATATCCCAGTAATGAGCTCAAAAATTATCCTTGAACAGATCTCAGAGGTTCTCAAAACTTGCAACTAGCACTCTCAAACTATTAAAACAGATCCGTACAAATAAACTCAGAGGTTCTCAAAACTTGCAACTAGCACTCTCAAACTATTAAAACAGATCCATACCAATAAACTCAGAGGTTCTCAAAACTTGCAACTAGCACTCTCAAACTATTAAAACAGATCCGTACCAATAAACTCAGAGGTTCTCAAAACTTGCAACTAGCACTCTCAAACTATTAAAACAGATCCGTACCAATAAACTCAGAGGTTCTCAAAACTTTCAACTAGCACTCTCAAACTATTAAAACAGATCCATACCAATAAACTCAGAGGTTCTCAAACTTGCAACTAGCACTCTCAAACTATTAAAACAGATCCGTACCAATAAACTCAGAGGTTCTCAAAACTTACAGCTAGCACCATTTAAGCTATTAAAACATAACGCGGCCAATAAACAGAGGTTCTCAAAACTAGAAGCTAGCACCCTTAAACTATAATAACAGATCCGGGTCAATAGAGGTTCTCAAAACTAGCAGTATGAGCCTTTTCGTAAAATAAATATCTGTTTCACAAGTCAAAGAAAGCCGAGAAGACAGCATACACCGATGATAGCAGTTTAAAATCGTGATTGTGGATGTATTATTCTCAAATCTACTTAATTCGTGTCATAATTCGTGTCACAATAGCTATGAGGAAAAAAAAAATGAAAATTTTAACACTTGTACCTTGCGGTGATTGGCACACGGATTTCAAAGTTTTCGGTTGGCTGGTCATGAAGAGTATGGGTGTTTTAAAATGTAAGCTTCTTTACAAATGCAATGTGTTATGGGAAAATATTAGGAAATTATAGTTATGGGAAACGTAGGTTTTTAGGAAATAATAGGTTATAGAGTTCACACTGACACACACATGTTTTAGTTCTTTTCACACTTTAAAATGTGGTACTAGTATTGGTTGGTAAATGGTTACGAGTAGGCGTTAAATAAAGGTAAACTTTTAGGGTAAAGGTAATGGTTAGGACGTGGTAATAAGGGTCCCACGGGTACAATGGTAAATTCACACCGGTTACGGAAAACTACTCTAAGCTTTTTGAATTTATAAAGTACTAATATTCCGCACTATTATACAAACATTGTTTGCTGTTCAGTTGGTGCGCAATTTTTTTTCTACGATATATTATTCGATTTTTAAAAGTTTAAGTAATTAAAAATTAAAAATCATGTCTATATCCCGAGTTGCATTCCCCGTAGTGTTATATAAGAATATTCAAGAAAGTTTAAGGGAGATCACTCCCGCTTTATTTTTTTTATAGCAGCTTTCGATGAAAGCCAATATCTTTTTTCATTTTTAAAACAACGAGCAGATTAAGTTAAAAACCATCTTTAGTCACAATCGCTAAGAGAATGTATTTAAAGTAAAAAAAGTGACTTCATGAAAGTTTGTTGGTTTGAGATCAAAAGAAACCTAATATTAAATTTAAGAAAGTTACCATGAGAGTAGCAGAAGTCATTACAAAAATATAAT